GGCGAAGTTAACCAATCTAATTACAAGATCATGTGTAACATATAAAGTTCAAAACAAGCCAAAAAGAAGAAAATTCAAATTTTTACTATGATAACTAGCCTTTGACTTCTAAGTAAAAATGTTCAGCATGAAATTTTACTCATATATTAAATGTCAATAACGTATTTAAAAAATTGTTATTAATTTGATGATTTTTTTCATGTATTTGCCCCCGCTTTAGCCATCCCCCCAAAGTAGTAATTATTAGTGGCAATCAAAAGTATCCAAAAAACATCATAAACTTTCTCAGAAGACTGAATATGCTCGATGAAGGTGGTCTGGGAACAAGGTACCATGTCGTCTCATAAACTCCATGACAATAGCATCAGTTATAGTTAGTTTAAAATCTGTCAATTTGAATAAGGTGCTGCTTTCAAGCGATGAGGAACTTCCAAAGGATGACCAGAATTAACCTTCATATAACAATGACATCTTCACAGACAGATTTTTGAGGACACCAGTGCATTCGACTATATAGTCAAGTTTAAGTTGACCCATTTATCTGTCCTGTTGGAATACCAGCTCGAGAATTGATTCATACTAAACAATCTGTTTATTATTATTAGGATTCTAAATTCTTCATGGTGTTCGGTGTTTGGTAACTATTACTCTAAGAAATTTGGATCATTATAATAGTAATAGGTAACAAGGTGGCTGGGCCTAGAATATATCTAGAAGTATTATTATTGGCAAAATCTGTGAGTATTTTATCTTATGCTTGAATTGTGTTGTCAGTGTTGCTGATGAAATGCTAAAGTGTTCTGCATGTCAATTAGCCGTTAATTCGACCGATGAATGGGAATGGGGACATTTCAACAACTCCTCTTTCTGCGACACCCAGAATAAATATACCACCAAGATTTTCCTCCATTTTTGAGCCGATAAAAAAATAGACAAAATTTATATTCAGCATTGGAGATGGAAGTCGCAACTAAATTAAAATAGGATGATCTTAAAAAAATTTTTGTATAAAAGTCCGGGTGGGGCTTAAACTCGAAAACCAAATAAGCACCAAACTTATGCATTTATTTATTTTATTCTAATCTCAGCTAAATCACTATTTTTGGCATTTTATTTACATTCATACGTTATAAATAAGGTGTCCAAATTATACTTGTAGAGACTGTTTGAAAAACCAATTTTTCCGCTCGCAGGCTCTCGGAAAGAAAGTTTTCTCGGTAGCATTAAATGAATTATCCAGTATCACTATGAAGAGTTGACTGTTATACCGTAATTTGTGCTATTTAGCAACAGGCTCAGAGAACGAAGCCAAAAATAAATTCCGCTTGGGAAATTTACGTTGAGGCTGGGAACGAAGCCAATAAAATAAATATTTTTTCAAGAAAAAATTACGCATTGGCAAGATTATTATATGTACAGTTTGTGATCACTATATAGACATGCATGAACGCTACTTACAGTCAACTCAGACACCACTTTGGCAAAGGACAAAGCCCTAATTAGTTATCTACAATGTGGTTCGGTTCGATCATCACAGCCGCCCGAACAGAATTATGTGTAACATAGACACTGCCGCTTTAACGAACTGCAGCTTCGGAATGGTAATGGGACTAAACATATCACCGTTTTTCACGAAAAGTACAATCAATTATCTTCAAAACGGTACAAAAATCGTTGTGACTCACATAGTAGATACGTACAGTAGAGCGCTTCGAAAAAATAGATTTTTCATATGTTTTACTATGTGATCGACAAAAATTACGTAGACTTGGGCACTTAATTACTCGATAATCGATGTCGTTTTCAGTGTATGGTTCACCATTAGACTTCTTTTCACCACTAGCAATCTTTTGTTTCATTTTGTTGATGGATTCTAGGGCTGCTGCTTTATCTGACAATCAGTCATTGTGGCCACTTAAAACGGAACCGACCAAGGATTTTTCCGGAACTACCAACTCTTTTATCCGGATGGGAGTAAGGTCGTACCTCAAACCATCGGCACTATTCTTACACCCCGGTCCCTTGCGTACTTTTTGGGCAATGTTGCGTGTTTGGACTGGCATTTAAAATCGGTAGATCAAGTTATATTATATTATAAAGTATGGGTTACTAGAGAAGATTTAAAAGTTGCTTATGATGAAGCTGTTAAAACTTTGGATCATGTTTTTGAAAGAAGGTTGGCTGAAAATAGAATTGTAAATCAAGTAGGTGGTAGTGTTGTTGAACCTTCTTTAGTACCGGCGTTTAGTGTACCTGTTTTTATATACCGTGTTATTCTATATTTTACAAATATAGAATAACACGGGTTGGCTGATATGAAAGGGAGAAAGAACTGATGCTGCCCCTGCAACAGTTAGAATCAGAAGACGAGGATAGATAAAAAAATATGAATAAAAATAATAAAGAAATTAAAATAAAATTTGGTTTATGTCTATAATGTCAAGCAATAAATAATAAAACACTTTTTCCAGCCAATTTTTGGCCTGAATTTCAACAATTTTGTGCTCGAAAAAGGAAAAATTTGTCCAGTGAGTGTATACCCTCGGTAAATTGCCTTCCTATATATGGCAACCATGACACATAAATACACAGTGGGCTTTCTTTATAGTGGACCTCCGTTACAGTGGATTTCAGTTATTGTGGAGCTCCTAATTAAACTAGCTCTATATAGTGGATGAACAGACAGTTGATATGCTCTCTCAAAAAGCGTGTTGTTACTTGTTATAAAGAACTAAAAACTATAATACGAGAGTTTCTATTATTTTAGACAATGTGTGAGATTGTTTGTTAATAATAAAAGAAACTATTTTTCAGAAAAAGTGACTATGAAAACGTCAAATAGTTTAAAGCATCAAATTCTTTGAAAACAAGCACCAGTCTAGCATTATCCAATACTTTCAGTGAAATTTGCGATCATTTATCTAAACTTTTTACTGTTTTTTAATCAAATTCGCTATAGTGTATGTCACATGATATATTATTAAATACACTATATGGTGAGGTTTTTTTTGCGTATAGCTCGTTATAGTGTATAAAACTGTTGGAAGATGTGTATTATGTTATTTCTATGCATGTTTATGTGACCTGATCTTTTTAAATCTATTGCATAGCTGTTAGGCAGATGCACATATCCAAGACTATGTTATACTATCAGTTATATCCCCAAAGCGGGATATAAACGAGGGATGACTATTAATATTCCTTACCAGATGTATAAGGAAGGATTGTACAATATGCATGATGTAGTCACCAGCAACAAACATAGGCTACGGACTTTCGCCGATCGAACATTAAAAAGTAGCCCACAATGTAAACTGAAATTTACTGACACAACCAGTCATGGTGCGATAAGTACATTCATACGCATTGTAACTTTATAATGTAACTCTTATTTTTTCAAGACGAAATGTAAATTTGAGCTTTGCATCTCTTTGTTTTATAAAAAAGTTTGACAGTATACATTATCGATGTAATTACTATTGTAATTACACTTTACAGTGAAACCTCTTTATACCGTCCCCCGGTTATACCGGTTTTTTCTATAACGGCCAAAAACCGATCATCATTAATTAAATTGTCTATAACGGCTCCGGACGAAATTTTGTTGGACAAATTTCGTCATACTATTATAAAATATATGTAATTTCCTTTTTATACCGGTCGATCATGTAACACAATAAATAAACTTTCTTTCACCTTTACTTTCTTTTTTATCTACCATGACACGTAAACCAACGATACTCAATATTAATCTATTGAATTTGTTAAACCAAAGAATTTACGAATCAATTGCAATCGCTGATATGGTAAATGACGATGACATTATTGAAATAGTCCTATCCTAAAGTAATGAGGCCAGTGAGACCCCGAAAAAATTTTCGTTTGAGGCGGCATTGACTGCTCTTAAAACAATGACCGAATTTATTGAACAACAGCCAGATAATTCATTCATCACACGAAAAGACGCGGATAACTTACTGTGCTTACAACGTAATATCGAGTTAAGCAGAATGGACAATCTTAGGCAAGTTTTAGACAAAGATTGAATAAAACCTGTTATTACATAATGGATTATCCTTATATGTACCTCTTGTATTACTTGCCTTTTATACCTTTATACGGTCTTCCTCATACCGGTCAAAAATCCCCGTGGGATGGAGCTGACCGGTATAAAGAGGTTTCACTGTATATTAATATACGCAAACCTTCAAAAGCGAGTAACTAACTGTTCTACAGTCAGCAAAATTCTTATGCATGTAGGAGACTACTGTTACGTGTTTGTTTACTAACAAACGAAACAACTTGATGAGACACACACGAAAATCTGTAGCTTCAGCTTCAGTTCACTATACTTATTATTATTGGCTGTTTCAATTTTTTCCTCAAACCCATGTGTACTGTGCCATGAAAAATACAATCAATCAAATTTCTATGCTGGAAAAAACCGCTAGTTTTATTTTAATTTCTCTTGCCAGTTTTTCGTGGCACACTACAGTGATCATAAAAGAAAGGTCACATTATATTCTTATCTCCTAACCCTTCGCGAATAATATTATGCCTCAGCAAAGAGCTTCACTATCGTATTTCCCTCTTCCTTGAAGTTTTTCTTGAACTCATTGCTTTTTAGGAATGGTTCGATTGTATGAATATCCAAATTCTTTGCCTAAAAAAATTACAATTAATAATCACATTAGACAAATAAGAGGCAATCACCAAAGATACGCACCCGATTCTGTAATTCAGTTTTGTTAATCGCAACTCTGTTTGGTGCGTCAGCCGGTCTCTCTGCTCTCATTAGCTTTACTTTTTCTCGCACTATCGTGTTTAATACGTGCAGCAGTATTTCATGGTAATTACGAGTTCTATTGATGTATTTCGCGAAAGTCTGTCAAAAAGAAACGCTATGTGTAAGAAATCTTCCATTAAAAAGCGCATTATTTAGTACTATTCTTCTTACCCGCCGTAACCTGCTCGCCACTGAATACTTTTGAGAAGCAAAAAAGCTTTGTAACACAACATCTATCGCAACGTCTACATCAGAAGAGTTCGTGTGGGTGCGAAGGTGCATTCTGACGAACGAACGGTGTTATAAGCAGGACGTTTATAATTCGAAGGTCGTAATATGCATAATAGGGTGTTACCTTGCATTGGCTTCGGCTAAGCGGAGCATAGACTCCAAATGACGCACTGTAATCGGTATGCTATCGCCAGCCTGTCCAAAAACAATGTTAGCAAAATTCCTACCAGGCAAAAAATCTTGTGCTGGGAAGTTTTTACCTCGCGGCGCAAGTCCGAATATAGCTGAGATAGTTTGTCCTGATCGAGCTGGTGCAGTTTAGGTTCTAATTCTTTCGCATACATAATATATTTACGCAAAGTCTCCTGATCTATGAGCTAAATTTGAAAAGATTCAGTTTGGACATCTTAACACTAATAATCTCATTGTAGAAACATGACACTCACATCCATCGACTGTAAGAGGGTCTGTTCTTCAGTACTCTGACAATCAGGGTGACTTCGCATATGACTGTTTACAACGAACTTGGCCAAAGTCTCATCTGTGGTCGGATCAATAATATCCTTGACCACACACATGACATCAAAGCGAGACAAAATAGGTTCTGTGAGATCTACGTTCTGTGAGAAGGGGACAGATGTATTGTATCGGCCTCTGACAGGATTTGCTGCAGCGATAACTGCACACCGAGCTTGAAGTGATGTCACTATTCCGGCCTTCGAAATCGATATGCTCTGCTGTTCCATTGCCTCATGAATACTAGTCCTATTATATATAAATTATCAATGATATCGCCCACTAACGTATACATATCACCATACTTCGTAGATGTTATTTACCTGTCAGCATCATTCATTTTGTCAAATTCGTCAATCAGACATACGCCCTTGTCTGCTAATACAAGAGCACCGCCTTCCAGCGTCCATTCTCTGGTAATAGGGTCTTTCCGCACAGAAGCAGTGAGACCGACAGCGGACGCACCCTGTCCAGTGGTGTAGACAACTCGGTGTGCAGTCTTCTCAATATATTTCAAAAACTGGGACTTGGCAGTTCCTGGATCACCCAATAACAGAACATTAATGTCACCTCGTAACCGATGCTTCCCTCCAACGTTTTTTGGGACACCGCCGAATAATGACAATGCAATAGCTCTTTTTATATCTTCATGTCCGTAAATTGATGGTGCTATACTGTTTATTATCTGTTTGTCGATTATCGAGAATTAATAAAAGATATAGTCTACACAACTCGAGTCATAAAATGCGCTGTATTACAGACCTTGCTTCCTATATTTTCATCTTTTTTTAGAGCCTCAAGTCTTTGTTTATCCTCTTCAGATAATCGAAAGTTTGAAAATAGATCGTCCTTTTTGCTTATATAATTAGCTTCGATGATAGTCGCGAATGTTGGGAACCCACTTTTTACGTTCAGTACTGCATCGAAATTATTACGATAAATGCCCGTAACTTCCTTATTTACAGTCATTCGGATAAAGCAGGTAAAAATAATATTCCAAACTCAACAGTAACAATAAAGAGCGATTACGATTTCTTACAATTTCTTCTCCTGGCTTGACTGAATCAATCAAATCCCACAATAAAATGACTTCACGATGGCGCGGTAACCGCCCGGGAGGGACGCTCCCTGGAGTCTCCTGAAGAGTAATTTTTTGATAATTCCGGTAATACGTCTATAGACAAACAGAAATTATTATAAATGAGACTAAAAGTATGAATCCGATGATCGATATTTGCTTACTTGTTCAGCATTTAATAAAAATGGCCCGCGTGATTCACAATGGACACAATGACTGATCTTTAATTCATTCTGAATGTCTTGGTAGAATGGTCCCATGACGTTTCCGCATTTGGCACAGTTAAATTTAACATATTTCAATTGCGGGAACACTCCAGTTCGTCTTGTCACAACACCCGAGATGCGTACTAATGTATTTACGTGTGTTCGCCTAGAAATGCTCATTAATATTTCGTACGATGCAGTTATAATCATAACCAATCTGTTAAAAATATACCTGAGATCTCTCAGAGTGTGAAACGTGGGTAGGTCGACTATGCGAACATGTGTTTCTCGATGAATCTCCCCATAGTTAGGGTAATATCGCAGAGCAACTTTAAATGCAACTTCATCAAATATTTTTAACATTTCTGCAGGTGCTTTTGCAAGAAATGCGGCTATTATCGGTTCAGCCTCTGCTAAATGTTTGTAACTTACTTCCAAAGACTCGATTTGTTCTGTAGTAAATTCAAATCGATAAATTGGATCTAATATTTTCAAATACATTTATAACTCTTACCTTCGCAAAGTGTTTTAACGCGAGCTCCATACACAGGATTACCATTAAAATCCTTGTAACTCGCCAGGAAGGATCTAAATTTTGTTTTGATTGCCTTACGCGGACCCTCAGATGTAACCCATTCATTGATTGATGCTGTTTTTATATCACCCAAATTAACTGGGTCGATTTCCTGCATAAAATTTTATTGAATGCGTCTGCTACTGACAACGAATATAATTTGCGTATGCAACACAACATTCACGTACCACTTCGGCAATTTCCAAATCCATGTCGTCAACATCGTCGAAAAACCGACCTCGAGCTCTAAAGACATCATATCGCCTGTCCTCTATATGCATTGAATAAAACGTTCATTCATGGCGACACGATTATGTATCGTACATGGCTTGTTTACAATGTTATTGTTAATCAGCATTAAATTTACGTACCATCGTCATCAAAAGCTGCAGGAAGCCGTCCCTCTTCTACATCTCTTCGGTACATAGTTCTCTCAGCCATCCTACGCGTTTCTGGATCTATAGGATCATATATTTGGTCGTCCACATGTTCACTTTCATAACGATCTTGCCGACGATTTTCTCGGTAGTCTCTGAATAAAATGGTGTGATATTAGCCTTTGATCAAATATATGCGGTGTAGGACATACTTCTCAGCTCATATGAAAGTTTTCGCAGACTTACGCTTCCATATCCGATCCGAACAAATCCTCTCCTTGATCGTCTTCGCTTTCGATAGAATTACTATCATCCTCGATAACATTGTCCTCAACAGCGGAGGCATCGCTATCAGACAGTGGGCTGCCAATAGGACTAAATGGTGGTATTGAATCCGAAGGAACAGGACTGTTCGTTGGGCTAGCGTCTCTTCTGCGTTTGCGGTCAGTCTATATAAGGTTCACATCAAATGAGCCAGTCTTATACACTAGCGAATAACGAAAACTTTCTACTAGTACACCTTCGCAACCTACCATAATGCAATAAAGTCTCAAGACGCGACATACCCGTGTCCCGCGTCAGAATTAAATCTGCCGATTGTACGACAATAGATGTTCATCAATAGATTCCAGGCATCATTGAAACTGTAACATACTATGAATCTCACCAAAGTCACTCATATTGCTCAGAAACGTGTTCCGCTTATTAAGTTTCTCGGTCCGAGAAGAAAATTAGGTGATTATGTCTAATCGATTTATTGCTAAATGTTATTCTCGTTAAATTGAATTAAATATAAGACATGATTATAGATGGTGGGCTCTACTAAATTAGTTAGTTGACGTATAGTGCAGACAGTGGATCCCAAGCCTCAACTTCATCCGTTAGCGCCCAAAGGAGCTACATTACCCAAGAATCATCAGGAGCAGCATATCTACTTAACGAGTTATGACGAACTGCCCGACAAATACAGAAGAACAGAATTAGCGTCTGATGAAATAGAAGCTATTGAGGCATGTTTTTCTCGTATTCATTTGCCAGAAATGGCATTGGGGCGCACCAGTATCATAGGTCTTACATACATGTTACTACTTCTGTAGCTTGGTGGTGCCGACACGGTAGTCCGATAAGATAACCATGCCGACCAACCACATGGTTAATGTCAAAAGCTTATCTATGATCATGTGCTTTCTTGGACAGATAAATCAGTAATGTTTAGATAACCTTACATATCGATGTAAAGGCAGCTATAAGGATGAAGTGACAACTTCCTCTCTAGCAATCATGCAATTTTGCACAACAATTAGACGAAAATTCAATGAAGATTAAAGGATGTAACATTGCTTATTCGAAAGCAAGCTTACAAATTGAATAATGTTGAAAATCATAGAACTTATTTCTAGTGAACAAAGATAACAGAACTATATTCACACTCTTGTTTTTTTACTTTGAGCCCCATCTACACTTGCAACCTCCTCGCCATTCAGCTCCATCTTGCGTTTCTTCTCATTCTCTCCCTCTATTAATTCCTGTGGTATAATCACCGAGTTTTCCTCCTGTACTACAGTTTCCTTGGTATTGGTATCTACGGTCTTCCGTTTAATTAGAGAAGAAATATCATTGACAGTGCTATTCGTTACTGTTGCTGCTGAAGTTGATGCTTGTCCGGAACCAGAGGCAGATTCCGAGGCTGTCGTTGCATTCGAAGTGGTCGTAAGCCGTATAAGTTCATCCAAAACAGAACTATGTTGCATATCTCGTGCAAGCTTGGCGCTTTTAAGCTCCTCAACCTTTACGTGAAAGATCATAAGTAGATATACGGACTGAGCCTACAATCAAAATTTTGATACTTACTTTTGTTTCCATATCAGTTAACAGTTCATTCAGTTCACCTATCTCTTTGTGTATAGCATCAGTATCGTTATCTGCCGTCGCCACACCTTTCCCTTTGACGTCTTGCTGTGCATTAAGAACAGTAAGCCTTTCACACAGACTCTTCTTACGCTGCTCCAATACCTGAATCGCTTCTTGAACGTGAGACACTGCGTTATCCCTCTCGCTGGTACTATACTCCATTGCGAGAGCCAATTTGTAATGCGTGTTAAAAGAGTCAAGGACAGTGAAATTTGTTCATATATAAAAGACAACAAAATTATTCAAATCTCAAAGGATATACTTCCGCAAGTTGTCGGTCATCTGCAGGAAGTCGTCGAATCTTTATGTTAAGAGCCTCCCGATAATCATTTACAGCTTGGTCAAGCGCCTCTAATTAATATTGTAGACAATTTGTTAACTCGTCATTCGCGAAACAGATTATATTAAAAATGAATTATCAATCACCGTTTTCCAGGGACAGGTCGCCTAGTGAAATATATATCTCTGCAAGTTTGATTTCCGCATCGTAACCCTCAATTTTTGAGTAGATTATCCTTGCGATATCAAGAACTTCCCATGCCACAGATAGGTCGTCATCATTCTGAGTATTATCAGTTGCCCCGCCTGTTTCTGCCAAATCGCCGTCAGCCCCTTCTTCTTCCTCTTCCTCTTCATCTTCTTCCTCGTCTTCGAAATCGTATGCAAAATCAGGTTCACCCTCAAAAAACAGACCCTGGTTGTTTACTGACGGTTGTTCCTCTACCGAAGCGATAGGTATCTCAATAAATTAAATCGATTGAAGCAGTTATTGGGGACCCAAATTCACCACATTTAGTTACCTGATACCGCACTAGTCTTCTCAAGTACTTTACTGTCTAATACACTATTCTGTGCTACAGAGTTCTCCAGCAAAGCCCGTCCATAAAGAATGAGTACATCGGCATACTCTCGCGAATTTTGACCATTGCTCACACCTCTAAAGGTAGTTTAATAAACAAATTGAAGTTTAGGCCCGAAGTCACTTCTAACCTCTACATGCGTCAGTGGCTAGTGTCCCTGACAAAAAGGTAACCGCGATTGCTGTGTATAGAACGAAAGAGTCAACAAAGTATTCTTACATCAACTGAGACGCTTCGCCAAGTTTCTGTACGGCGGTCTCGTACTCGTGCAAAGCAAAAGCCTTCATGCCCTCATCGACCAGTGTTTCGGCACTTTTTGATTCAACTCTGTCTGACTTTTCGGCTTCGTTCGTGTGAAGCACAGTTTTGTTTGCAGCCGTAGAGTCCTCCTGACCAGCTTTTGCGGAAGTTGACAAGGCAACGCTTGCCGAAGCAGAGGACGCAGAACTATCACCCATTAAAAGTACAAAATATCTTTTGATTGAATAGTTTGGTAATAAAAAGCCTAATTTATATGAACGAACACCTATTATATTTTTGTGTATATATATATATATACATATATATATATATAGCGTTCTAACGTGTAGGCTTTAAAAGCAACGCGACGAGTATCAAATACTGTTTGAGGTAACGATAAACACACTTTCACCTACACCATACCGACATAAAATAGACATATCGGCTAATCATTGATAACGCAGCAAATCAGGATAACTAGAAGCCCTTTTCGCCAGGGAACAAAAGCGTTACCCGACGCGGGACTCGAACCCGCAATCCCCAGATTTCAACTATAATTAGAAGTCTGGTGCGTTATCCGATTACGCCAGCCGGGCACGACACGCTTGTAAATTTCAAAAATTTTATTTATAAATCATATGCCTGTTTCTATCATGCATAACACAGCATAATAATAATATTGGGTCACAGCATTGTCATAGTGAAGCTTGACGGTTCTCCCCCCGTTTCTTTTGGCAATATTATTTGTATAGAGCTTTACGGTATCTCATAAATCCCGTTTTAGAGTATCATGGCCGACTATTATTTGTGCTGTATACACCTTGCAACGTGCGGCACAGCGCAACAATATGATACAAAACGGCAAACATGTCCATATCGATAGACCTCGCACAGATTATTAATGAATCGGACATCCCCAATATAGTATATATTTGACACCCAGTTAGCGGAACGACGGGTAGTATTTGAACAGAGCGAGTTTTTCTTTAAAGTGAAAATATTAAGACTAACTTATTACCGCAAAATTATTTTTAATTAATTCTCTGGACTCTGGTCGAAATTCAGATCTTCTTAGCTTTATAGTTCATAAATTTGTAGTTGTTCTTTTAGAATACACTGCCTTACCAAAGTATATAACAATCGCTAACTAGCAATTAAGTTGGATTTTCTGCTAACGATTCAATTTTTGAAAATAACAGTGACGCGTTTGATAAAATTATATTAAATTACTTAATTAGACTTATATATTAGACTGAACCAGACAAAAGTATGAAACCCTCTAACTCTATTAATTACACAGTGAAATTCACTTTAACGAGATAAACGAAGATTATATATAAATTCAGTATAACGATATAACGAAGATTTCAAAATCCATGCATAAATAAAGCCATTTTACTCAGGTAAACTTTTTTCGTATAATGAAGTTCACTATAATATAACGAAGTTCGTTATAGGAATTAACTAATCAGAATCATCAATTTCAATCTCATAAATAAAGATCTAAAGCGGTGTCTTCTTGCTACTAAGACCGTAAAAGCTATTAATAGTATTGACAGTCTGTTATATTTACAAGGGAAATTAAATATAGAACTGTAAACTTTAAGCAAGTTACGTAAAAGCATTTTTGGAAATATTATGCAGAAAAGAAGACAAACAATCATTCATGATTATTTTAATCTCGAAATAACCATAATAAATCGACAATTTTTATTGGATATTCGTATCGACTAAAATTACGTGAAATATTACTTACTTTGAGAATAAAGAATCTTTCAGATTACCGAAGAAATTTTGCGGAACGAACGACTTCGTTAAAGTGAATTTCATTGTGTACTCGAAATTAGACATGCTAAAATTCTTACGTTATGCTCTGGGTATTGAAAAACGCGCCACAATTTTTACGTGTCGTTTATAGCTTTTGTTTTTGTAAACATAAGATGGCTGATTGGTAATTTTGAATCTTTGACTTAAAATATCTGAATTAACTGAACATGCAGCTAAACGTGGTCAAATTATTGGCCATTAAAGCGGTGCTACGAAAGTAAGCATTAAAAAAACGCTTGGTTTATCTATACAACAGTTATCAGAACTACCGTATCCTTCCGAATTTAAGCACCACCCGAATTTAAACACTACCGGAACTTTAAGCAGAAAAACTTGAAAAACAAAAGTAAGCACCACACAAATTTTATGCAAAAAAATTTTTTTATTATATTTTTATTCCAATTCTCCCTCTTCTAATTCATCAGTGAATCGCTATCTATCTCTACAATTTTCCTTTTATTTTCATCAATTTCCTCCTCCTTTTGTCCAAATAAATTATCTTATGACCCATCCGTTGCATTACTTTAAGCTTTTCAGCAGCAGAACACGATAAGCGTTGAATTTTTGGCATTGTATAAAAAAAAGATACGGTATGGCATACAAAAAATAATAAAACTTTGGAATTTAAGCCACCACTAGGAATTTTGTCCCAATTTCCCCTAAAAAAAGTGGTGCTTAAATTCGGAAGGATGCGGTAGTCAAATTTTTTAAAAAAACAAACAAACAAACAGTCTTGCAACTCAACCACGCTCCCGTACAAACAAAGATTGCGGGTGAGCGCATCAACGAGCGTTAAAAAATCGTTAATATTAAGAATCATAACCGTAAATTGACTGAACGAATTAAAAACACATTCAATAAAAAACAGGACTTAACGCTGTACGAGAACTATTATAAGAAATTTACATGACCTTAATTATTGTCTCGTGCTAAATCTTTTCTTAATGATAGACAAAGAAAAAGTCGTTTAGACTGGTGTCTTGAAAGAAAGAATTGATCTGTCAGAAAGTGGAAATAATGTCATTTGGAATGATGAAAGTCGTTTCACTATATTCAATAATGATGGTCCAAGTCATGTTTGGAGAACTCCTGGAGCAAGATACAATATTATGAATATGGTTTCTTTAAATCAAGCATTGGAGGTAGAGGTTTAATGGTTTGGCTTAGGTCCATTAGTAAGAGTGAGCGGGAAAATAAATAGACGTAATTATTATTATATTCAAATACCTAAAAACTCATTGTTGTCATTAATTAACAGAAATCTTAATGCGAAGAAGATATCTGTTTCGCATGATATCATACAAAAATTGCTGAAGAACTTTTTGCAGAAAAGAAGTTAGCCTAATTGGCCAAGTCAATCACTAGATTTAAATCACATTGAACACCTATGGTCAGAATTGGATAGACGTATTAGAAACCGTTCTCCTTTGCCGAAAATTTTTTAAAAAAAAACTAAAGACTACAAGAAGAATTTCTAATATTGTTTTAACGAATTAAGCATGCATAGCAAATAATGGCTGACCAGCAAAATATTAACTATTGTACAGTCGCACCTGTCTATCTGCATACTGTTGGGGACTGATAAACTTTTACGCAAATAGGCAGAATATGTTATTACATGATTGTTGATACTGATCACATAATTTGATACTCAAAATTTTATTAGTATTATGCCCTCTTGTACAATATTTATCACTACATTAAGCAATCAACAACGCTATCAAATCTGTTTTAAAAAGCAAAATAATCAACGAATGACCCAAAACGAATTAATAAAGTGGTGTAAACACTTGGTGTAATAAAAAAATCTGGTTGATCTCTCCTTTAATAGTACGCATATGCAAACATACTTACCAGAGTTAGGCCAGCTTTGATGTTCACGTTATGCAAATAGCTAATAGGTCCCACTAAAGGACCGGAGCTCCTTTATGTAAATGGACAGATTATGCAAATATACGTTATGCAAATAGACAGATGCGACTGTATAATTTCGAGTTAGATATAGATGGTCGATATTTTTATCCAGGTAGTGTATAAGGTAATTACAGAACTGTTATAATGGGATCAAAACCAAGATTTATGGTTAGAGGGTTTTTTCTCGCTCCAATCGTACACTTTTCCTTCACTTCACAATCATACTTTATTCAAGTAAAGGCTTTTTCAACTATATTACATGCAGAACTGTATCAATTTACTATAGCTACATACATTATATAAACGCTAGCTAGATTTGGTATGTCCTCTCGCGCGGCAAAATGGACGCAAATAAATTTACCATGGTGACTGCCGCGCAACCCGTTTTATTTTGTGATTTACATTAAAACATAATAACTTGTCACTGTGCTTATATTGAGCTACATGAAATTATTCGTGCTGCACTTGACAAACTAAAAAATTATTCTGTTGGCACCAAACGCCCCAAGTTTAAATAGCATAGCACAAGATTTTGGGCTTGCTGAATCTACTTTAAAAAAATGCTAAAGTAGTATGCAAAAAAAATTTTTTTGGTAATAGATCTGAATTTGCCAAATTACCCTGAAATCTTTATTTTAAAGACCATTACATAACAACCATTTTTGTATTTTACAATCCCTTTTCTATTTGCATGCATCCATGTGCTAGTTTATTAATTCTGAACATCAAAACTTATAAATGGCTCAATAAAATTTTACTTAGTAAAGCTCTAACTTTGCTAAATTGCCCCTGTCTACCTTATATTACATAGTAATAGTAATAATATTATATTATATTTAATGCATTTAAAAACTCTAACAATAAGTTTTAAATTTTGGTAAAATGTCTGGCTTTTACATGTACAGTAGATATAAAGTAATCATTACATAATCCACTTCGCTTGTAGGTAATTATCAATTATGTCTTATTTTAATATTTTTTTTGTGGTGGAATTCTTATATTACACGCCTCTCAAGCTTATCCCAGTTCTATGAGATTAAAATCTGGACTTTGTTCAGGCCAATCCAGTACATTTATGTTAGAGGGTTTTAAAGCTCACATAGTAATAGTAATAGTACCTGACTTTTGTAGAACGATTTAGATTCTGTTAAAATATATTAGTATTAGGCGGCTTTTCTGGGTTCCAGACTCTGATAAATGGGTATTAATGCATTCTGCAATACTTCTTCTATATTGATTTGGCACTATTGCCATCTAACCTTATGGAAACCTAATGTATAACCAAACATAACCCCCCCTCCACAATACTTAACCGTAGGAACAATGCAGTAGTTTTGTATTGCATTGGGTAACCTCCAAACACATGTTTCCTGAAACAAGGTAAATATCGCTTCATCATTCTAAATAAATTTTCTCCACTTTTTCAGCTGTTCAATAACTCTTAGATTCAATCCAATTCAATCAATTATTAACATTT